TGAGGCTCGAATTTGGATTTAACTTTGAGGCTTGAATTTGGATTTACCTTTGGGTGATTGGTGTGTGCGCTCTGATGGAGTTTGATCGGAGAAGACAATCGGCGGAGAGTGCCGGTGAAGATAATCGGAGGAGAGACCGAGGGGTGAGGAAGCCATTCATCTTAGGTGGTGTTTAGGATTGTTTCTTATGTTTTTTTTAAAGTATTTATTAATTTATGTGATATTAAGCCGGAGTTTTGTAAAAAATGTTTGGATTAGCTTATAACAGTATCAAAAAACTATAAGCTGATAAGTTGTTTTTTAGTGTTTTACAAATTTTGTTTATATATGTAAATTGACCAAAAAGGACAATCTTCCATATTATTGACTTATTTGATTTTTTTAGGGGGTTGATATTAATACCCGTCACTTTCTCACCCCCTTCTCTCACAAACTCACTCCCTCACATACCCACCCTCTCTCACATTCAACGAATTTTTTTAAAATAATAATTTTAAATTTACACTTTATATCCTTATAATTAGTTAATTAATTTATTTTACGTCATTTATTTTAAATTTTTTTATTTTACACCTTTATTAAATTAACATACATAATCGTATATTAATTAAAACATATTTAAAAAATATATTTTTATTTTAACAAGTTACACCATTATAATCGTCTCGTTAATACCTTCGAAATGAGTCCAATATTAAATAATTTTTGACTTAAATATATTATTATATATTATATATACTGTGAAAAAAATACTTTTAATATTTATGATTTATATTTTTATAGTTCTTTATTTAATTTATGATACATCATTTATTTTTACACCATTATCATATTAAAATACATAATTTTATATTAACTAAAATTAGATCTAACAACTAAATTAACCTTGCAGGAAACATTTTCATACCCTTTATTGATCTTGTTCATCTTACATACTCATTTTTAATATACTTGTTAATTTTTAAATTTATACTTCATATTCTCTAGTTAACAAACGAACATAAACGAACACAAACACACATATAATTTCAAAAATACATATTTTTAATACTTTATTAATTAGTAATAATATAAAGTTAATTAATTTATATAATTATTAAAAAATATATGAATTCTTAATACTTAATTAATAATAATATATAGTTAATTAATATATGTAATTATAGTATAGATAAAAAACCTAGAGGGTATAATAAAAAAGTATTTAAAAAGTTGAAGGGTGAAAACTAAAAATATTAAAGGGTTAAAATTGAAAAATAAAATAAATAAATTTTAATTATTTTATTGTATTATATAGGTGGGGGTATAGAAAATGTAGGGGAAAAGAAATAGGAGGGGGGTGGGGTTAGAAAACATCTTTTTTTAACATGTAAAAAGTTATTTTTCATTATTTATAATAATATCTTTGACAAAAATTTATATCAATAAGATTAACAATTAACAAACATTAATAAAACAAGGTTAAAATGGTAAACTGGTAATAAACAGTTTTTCATAAGTCAGGAAAAATTAACTTATCAAAAATTGCTTATTACCAGTTTGACACCGGTATAATTAGTTTTATTTTTCTTCATCCAAACACTAGCATTTAGCTTATCACCGGTGTCAGATTGAGATAAATAAAAAAAACACATAAAATAAGCAATCCCAAACACCCCGTTAGGCTGCCAAAGGAAAAAAAAGAGAAAATTAAGATAAGTCTAAAATACCTCTCATCTAAAAGGATCTTTTAACGGTCATTCAAGAAAGGGACCAAATCCGATCGTTTTTACATACTATGATGGCAAAACTATAATTTAAAAACTGTAGGGATCGAAAGTGTTACAAACAATAAACCTTCGGAACCAAATTTGTAGTTTAATCTAAATTAAATTGAATTATGGAGAGAAAATAATGACAATCATTGCACAAAAAGGGCATAATTGGTAAAAAATAAATATCGGGTTTTTAGGGGCTTGAGTTGAGGCTATCAATGTGTTTTAGGTTTTGATAGCTTGTCGGTTTTTAAGGTTTTAAGTATTGGTTTGTTAGAATTCCATAAATAAGATTAATTATTTCGACACAACATCATTTATTGAATTCTAAAAAACCACAAATATATGTAACTAAGAGATTGTTTGGTAATTGTTGAATGGTTTGATTTAGAATGATTAAGTGGTCAGAATGATTAAGATGTTCTCATGATATAATGTAAAATGAAATACAATTGTTTGGTAATTGTGTATAATGAAATTAGGGCTCTTAATGGTTAAGGGATCCAGTATACAAAATTATTCAGAGGGTTTTAGAATCATTAAGATGCAGACTTTTTTTTTGCCAAACAAGATTCACCGCTTAACGATTCAAAAGTTGTCTCTTAATGAAACTATTAAAAGATAAATAAACAACCGCTAAACTATTAAAACAAAAATAAAACCAAAATAATGAAAATTAAAAATAACGAATTTTGTGTGTATTTTTTTATTTAAATTCTCTCTCTCTCTCTCTCTCTTGTGTAATAACAGATTGAGAATGTGTAAATAAATAATAATTCATATGTGAATTATTAATAAAATGAAAACGGAGATTTACATATACATTTTAAAGTAGATTAGTTGGGGTTTATTAATCATTTCCATACGTACTTATTCTTACGTTGTGTTAGGGGTTGTTTATTTACTTCTTAATAATTCTATTAAAAGACAACATCTGAATCGTTAATAGGTGAATATTGTTTGGCAAAAAAAAAAAAGTCTACTGCCTCTTAATGGTTCTAAAACTCTCTGAATGATTTTATATCATGGATCTTCCTTAACCATTAAGAGCGCTAATTTCATTGTACACAATTACCAAATAATTATATTTCATCTTGCACTATATCATGAGAGTCTCTTAATCATTCTGACCACTTAATCATTTTGCATCAAACCATTCAGCAATTGCCAAAAATAAATGAAAGGAGATAATGAAAACAATTAAAACAGTGTTTTATGTTCTAGATACGTAAAAAATATCATTTTTATAAATATCAATTTATATCTGTGTTTATCGTGTTAAATTGATGGTTATAATGTTGTAATTAAATTACTAAATTTTTCAAAAGTTATTATTATTATTTCATTCTAGAAGGAAAATCTTTGAAAGAAAATATATTATAATTTATTTTTTTAAATATTCATTTTTGAAATATCACATGCTTTTGCTGTTTACCCTTTCTTTTTTCTCTCCATTTTTTTTTAATAAAAATGGTTTTGAAAATTTAATAATACAACTATAAAACGTTTATTTAACAAGTTAGATTAAGGGGCCGTTTACTTAAATGCTTACCTGGTAAGTATTTAGCGTTAGGAGTTCACACTACGATTTATTTTACCAGGTAAGATTGTAGTACATCAAAATGATATAGTATGCAACAATTTACCTGATAAACACTTATCCTAGTAAGAGTCGTCACTCTCATTTACCGAGTAAGACTCTCGATCTTTATATGATCATTGCTCTTACCGGATAAATTTTTTGACCCTTGTCATATTCATCCGGTAAAGAAAATTATCCCATAAACACTTACCAAGTAAGCTTCTAGTAAACGGCCCCTAAGTACATATTTAAATTTAGAAAGGTTTTATTATGCATAAACATCAAATGTATTTTTTTTTTCCAATTTCATTTTGAAAATATATTTTCAAAATACATGTCTAAAAGTTTATGATTTAAAAAATATTTATTTAATAATTTATAATATAAAAAAATAATTTTAACAATATATTTTGAAACTATAGATTTAACTTTTATGATTATGTTCTTCATTTTTTTTTATTCGTTTTAATTGTAGTATATATTTATTTACTTTGCATTAAAATCAACAGGAAAATATTTAAAGAAAACTAAAGTAACATTTAAATTTCAATAATCAAATATAAATAATTTATAAAGTAATTATAATGATTAAAAGACGTTACGTTGATGATAACAATTAAAAGAAATGCATCGATGAAATTACCATAAAAGTATAAGAACAAAAATACTTTTTTGTTTAATTTTTGAAATAAAAGTTTGTCAAATTATTAGTTTTTGTGAAAGAAAAATCGACGTGGCAATTTTTTTCTTTTTATATTTTCTTGAAATGAATAAATTTATGAGTCATAATTACATAGTAATCATTATTTTTTTTAATCAAAATTAGTTGACATACATCTTTAATAACATATTTAGGGTTCGTTTACCAAGCGTTACAATAAGAGTGAGACAAATACCAAAAGACTTATCCGGTAAGAGCGAGATAAAGACCAAGAGTCTTACCAGGTAAATGAGGGCGACGATTCTTACCATGGTAAGCGCTTACCGGGTAAATTGTTGCATATATACGATTTCATTTTGATGGACTAAAATTTTACCCGGTAAGTAAATAATAGTGTTAAAATTTACCAGTAAGTACTTACCGGATAAGTGTTTGATAAACGGCCGCTAACACCATCGACATTTTAATTATTATTTTTTTTGTCTTAAATTGATAAAATTACATTATTTTACTTATTTAATTAAGAAAATAAATGTTGAAGAAGTTTATTTTAATATTGGTACTTTTTTTTTTATTAACCTGGATATCCAACCCGGTATATGAGCCGACTAATCGTAGGACGACCATCTGCTTTGCAGATAGTCCGGAGTCACCACATTTGAACTTCTGTGGCCACAAAAGGATTTTTATTCCTTCTTGAATTTGAACCTGAGACTTCTTGGTACCTTTGACATTTGAACTCAAGCTCAAACCAATCAAACACCACCTTTTGGTTAAAAAGAAACATATAAAGATAAATAATTAATTAAGAAAATAATATTTAGTTTCCATAAATATTGGTAAAGTGAGAAGATTTTGAGTATTCCTTGTTAGGGTTTTTATGGGGATTGTAGGCCATGGACACCCATGTGATTGCATGTGCTGTGTCTTTCCCTCTTAACCCCACCACCTTCCCTCCTCTTCCCTTTTGACAAAAAACAAATAAATAAAGCCTTCAACTCCATTCTCATTCTCCTCAACTCTTTCTTCCATTCATTCATCTTCTACTGCTACTCTTTTGTTGCATCCCAACACCACCATCACCACCACTTCATCTCTTTCTTTCACTTCTACACCTCCCATGGATACATAACCTTCAACCTACTCATTTCATCAAGAATTGAAGGTACATTTTGGATCCATGTTGCAGAAATGAAGCTTTCATTAATTTGATGTGTTCTTCATGTATTATGTCTTGGTTTTGCATGTTCTGCAGTCTCCTTGAATCTTTTTGGTTCATTCTGAACCAAGATCTTGGTGTTCTTGCCATCTTTTCTTTGATTCTGAAGTTCTTTGATGAATCTGCAAATCTGTATATAGTTTTTGAAAAAGCTTCATTGCTGATCACTGTTTAGTTATTTCTGCTGTTCCCATGCTTAACTGATATGAATGTTGGGTTTCAATTTTGTTGCATGTGAGGCAAGAACTTTAATGAGATGCTGCATGAATTAATTGTAATTGGTATCTGATCGTTGTTGTCAAGAACATTGATTACCATACAGAATTTAATGAATTTTGATGTTAATTTTGTAGGGAATATATATAAAATGCATACTTCTTCCAGTAATCTTAAGAGAGAATTTCTGAAGAAATGGGTAAGGGGTCTTCAAATATGCTGTTCTTCAAAGAAGGAAATGGATCTCCAAGAGAGAAAGAAGAAGATAAAGCTTTGTGCAGACATTGCTTTAGCTTCTGCCAAAAATGCCACAACTTCTTGGAGCAATGCTCTAATTTCCGAGGCTAAGAAAGATGGCGAAAACGCAATTCTTGTGGACAATTTGGTAGGACCCGAATCATATTTCGAGCCAACAAAAACTGCGCATCGAACGACTGGTAATTGCCACAGGAGGGTTAGAAGCAAGAAGATCTTGAAAAAGAGTTGTAATGTTGGCCAAAGATTCAAGAAGAAAATGGGTCCTCCTAGATTCGATTTAGCTACTTATGTAGCGAAAAGATTGGTGAAAAAAAGAACCCAAGTGCTCAAAAGACTTGTTCCTGGTGGAGAAGCCATGGATGAATTCTCCCTCATCAAAGAAGCTTTAGACTACATCCTTTCTCTTAGGGTTCAAGTCGATGTGATGAGAAGTTTCGCGAATGCAACCGAGCTTTTGAATCAAAGTCATGTTTCATCCATAGTTGATTAATCAATATAAATATAGCTTCATTTGGATATATATATGATGATCACAAAAACAGCTTTAGGATCATATTACTAGAATTAATTCTTGAAAACAAGTCATGTACAGATCGATCTTGCCACTTCTTGCTGTCAAAAACCGCGACCACGGATGTTGCAACTTCAAAAAACAAGCTGTTTTTCAACTCGAATCCGTAATTTCTGGATCAGAATTTCAAGAATTTAGTATGAATTTTCTTGAATTTTGATTCATGTGTGATTTCATTCGATTCTCAGGTAGTTTTGTCTTGTGGGTGGTTTGGAAAAATTGAATGTGAAGCAGAAAATTGAGACAGGTGTTGGTTTGGTAGGGTCGTAAATGATGTTAGTAAATTAAATGGTTTACGGTTTACTATTGAGCAAGTAATGCCTGAATGACCACTAAACACTCACCTTGTGTATATCATTAATTACTGCATTTTCTATACATATATATATATATATACATATATGTATATATACATATATGTATATATATGTATATATACATATATATACATATATGTATATATACATATACATATATATATGTATATATACATATACATATATGTATATATATGTATAGGGTAGGGTTCATGTGAGACCAAAATTTTTTCTTGAGACCAGTAAGACTAATTTATGTTCATTGATCAACTTTATAAACTAATGATCTAATGGTTTAAAGTTGCACGGTGACAATTTTGTAATTATTGAGAAGTCTTGTGGCGTTTATGAATGTTCAGATCTGACGATTGTAGATCTAATTCAAGGGTTGAGAATTGGTCTTACGGGTCTCACGAAAAACCATTGGTCTCACATGATCCCAAGTCTCTCTCTCTCTCTCTCTCTCTCTCTATATATATATATATATATATACTAGGTTCGAACCCGTGTATTACACAGAGTATTTTAAATGAGAAAAACTCTGGACATTAACTCTAAAAGAAAACTCTGAACATTAACTCTGGAACTCAAGAATTTAGAATTCTATTGTTAGGCTGGAAAATAGCTCTGGACTTTAACTCTGAATAAGAGGAATTCAGAGTTGTCTTCTTAGTCTAGAAAGTATCTACGAGCATAACTCTGAGTCACAAGAATTCTGACTTCTTATAACTCAGAAACGTAACTCTGAAGAGAAGTTCAGAGTTGTATTCTAAGTCTGAGAATAAGCTATATAACCAAGTTTGGAACAAAACAATTCAGAGTTATGTTGTAAGTCTGAGAAATAACCAATATATGATGACTTTCATGTTGATGATTTGTATCACTAATATCATTTAATGTAATATGATTAAATTGTTGACTAATGTAATCATGATAAATATCGAACATGTAAGGAAGGTGCGGAGTGCACACTTGTTTGAGTTTATTTTGATTTAGGGGCGAAACCCCTAAATGACGGGGGTCCGGGGGCAGCGCCCCTGGTGGCGGGGTCCGAATTTGAAAATTTAAACCCGGTTTTGATGACCACTCCAGAGTTAAATTCAGACTTACAACTCTGAATTTTTCCAGAGTTATGCTGTAAGTCTGGAGGCCACTGCAGACTTAAATTCAGCTTAAACCACGAAAACAGAAAAATAAACGTGTCGAGGGATAGATGTCACTTAAATAAACCTACTTGAACCGTAAGTGAAAATTGTGTCTAGATACATGTTTAAGCGGGAAAAATCAATAACCGCCGCACAGAAACATGACACGTGTCCTTAAAGTTACTTATTTATTAAGTATATAGATATATATTTAAAGACAAGAACACTATGGATGGTAAATTTGAATGCCAAAATTAATTAATGGCTTTTCATCTTTTAGTCAATACCAGCAAACAATGGTCAATTTGGGGTGGGGGAGGGGTGTTTCTGGTTTCAATCTACATTTAAATGGTTTGAAAATATGTTAATGGATGTTCAACTAATTAAAGATGAAGGATATATATATATGGTTATCTTTTTGGAAAACTTTAAAATGATAAAAAACACAGAAATATTTAGTAATCATTTATCTTTATGTATATGTGTATATAAGTAATTTGTATTTTTTTTTGATATGGGAAAGCATCTTCAATTACTTGTATGCACATGTGAGAACCGTACATACTAATAATTATTAGGGTGTTCATCATTTTTTTATTTTTTAGAGGTTTTTGCTTGAACCTTATTCACGCTCTCTCTCTCTGCCTCTCTCTCTATATACATATATATATATATATATATATATATAGAGAGAGAGAGAGAGAGAGAGAGAGAGAGAGAGAGAGAGAGAAGTGAGTTCATTTATTAAGCCAATATATAGTGTTAACTTTACAAAACTCAATGAATCAATAAAAAACAAGATTCATATTTGATTGATGCACATGATAAATTTATTTAAAAAGGGTAAAAATGTAATTTTTTTATTTGATCTTTTTTTTAATGCAAATTAATTTTCGGTTACATTTATTAATTATTCCATGTCTTGCCATTGTGAATATCCCATACATATTAACTGTCAGTTACATTTCTTAATTGTTTCAAATTAATTGTCGGTTACATTTCTTAATTATACCTGAGTAAACACTTATTCATAGGTGAACAATCTCGTTTCAACAAAAACTGAGTATGTACAAATTACTAATTATTTTAAAAAAATGAATAGTGTTCAGAAGTAAACACATGAACATTGTTCATAAGCACAATTTGGTGTTTGTTCATAGGTGAACTAGATATCATTCCACATTTATTTCATATATGAACAAGACTATGTAATGTATGTGTTTACTAAAATAAAACATGAATGTTACAAAAATCTTTACGACTTTTTTCCATATACACCCATGTTTACACATGAACAATTCCTATAAATATCGAATACTTGTTTACACATGAATCATTAACTAAAAAAAGCTATAGAAGAATCTGGTGTCGGAGATTTGATGTTGGTTTTGATTTGATGACGAGATTAATTCCCAGATAGTTACATTGTTATTAATGGGGGATTACAAAACATTCAATTGTCATTAATGGGCGGTTACCAAACATCTCATTGTCATTAATGGACAACTAAAATCTTTTCCCAAAATACCCCTTGTAAACATTGTTCACTTATGTTACCTTGTCTATGTGTGCAATTATTTACATCTTATGCCATGAATGATCTTAGCCACAAATTTTTCAAAGATCAATGGATAAGATTGGTTCACAAAGTTAACACTATATATTGGGTTAACAAATGAACTCACGCCTATATATATGTATATATATATATATATATATGTAGGGTTCGGTTCACGTGAGACCAAGGGTTTTTCCTGACACCCGTAAGATCAATTTATGTTCATTGATCAACTTTAAAAGTTAACGATCTAATGGTCTAAAGTTGCACAGTGACAATTTTGTGATTATTGAGAAGTCTCGTGACAATTTTGTGATTATGAATATTCATATTGTAGATCTAATCCAAGGGTTGAGAATTGGTCTTACATATACGGGTCTCACGAAAAACCTTTAGTCTCACATTATCTCAAGTCTATGTATGTATGTATGTATGTATATATATATATATATATATATATATATATATATATATGGAGGTTCAAAAAAATTCTATATAAATAAGAAAATAAGATGATGAATCTCAACAAACTATTTATTTAAATCATGTCTTAAACAAAACTTTCTTAAAAATCATCCAAAAGGGTATATATGTCATCTATTGCATATAGATCTGTTGATTTGTGTACACTTTGTAACCATTAAACACATTGGAAAATTTAAATTTTGGTTAAAAAAATGAGAAAACCTTTAAGATAAAAATCCAATTCGGATCTAATGATGCATTTAATTAAATTTCACTACACCATAAGATGTTTAGAATTGTACCTTTTAGATTTAGCAAGGATTCTGACGGAGCACTTAAAAACCAATGGAGGTTTTCTTTTATCCGTGATTCACACACGAATATGTTATGCACCTGCATGGGTGCTAGCTGAAAACCACTAGAAAAATATGTGTATTATAGAAAAGAAAATGTTTCTTCTCTATTAATTAATTTATTTACATGGTCTAAATTACAGATAAACTATAATTCAAAACAATGATTTGTAATTATCTGTAACATTTATATAATTATCTTGAGACTTTGATAGAATTATATACATTTACAGATAATACCATGTAATTATCATAATTACACTTCAATACACATTTTCGTAAAAACCCTCCAAGAAAAATTATTTCGACAATCAACTCGACTTATCTTGGGTTCTACAAATATAGGCAAACTTATTTTTTGTTTGTTACCCTATAGGTTTACATACTTCTCAGAAGTATTCGTGTGTGACATGTGTCGTGAGCATATAATAACTTACATTCTTCCACTTGCACACTATACACAATAACACAGATGGTGATAAGTGTTTAGCAACACGTCCCCGCCCCCTAGGCTATGTAAATGTGTTTTTTTTTCCTTTAGTAATCTGATTGATCCAATCAATCACATGATAGAATCATTCGTTATCATTTTTGTAACATCCCGCAAACCCATATAACATATAATACATAATTTACATATAACGTATATAAGGTTTACATATTGGGTCCCAACTTACAAAACAATACAAATCTATGAAATTGTACACACACACTTTATACTTCAAATCTTAATACAAAAGATTTTGTGTAAAGCTAAAGAACAAACTTCCATAACCAACTTCACATACAACAATCGAACAGATAATCTCACAACTTTCCCTTCCCTTTATCAATTAAACGCAATGGTCTTGAAATACATATTTTTTGAAACAAAATGAGGGTTAGACCATACGACCTAGTGAGGAAATCTCTGTCAATATAATGTTTAGTCTTGCTGTTCGCGCTGAGCCTGAGAGGATTTCTGATCGTCTAGAGGATCCTGTTAGCAATGCTCCCTCTAGCCAAAAATAGTTTACTTACAAACTTCACAATTTGGTAAACATATAACTGGCATCCAATCACATTTCTATCGTTTGTAAGCCTAGTTGACGCTTAAACACAACCGGTCAATCCCACAAAAGTGGCTCTCAAGCACAATTTGTAACTCACACATAGTTGGCGCATAAGCACAACCCAATCGATCTCAGCTATGATTGGCGCTCAAGCACAACTAGTAGCAACAATAACTTAACACAAATGATAATAACAACTTACACATACCAATAAGGTATAGTTCATAATAAAAATCCTTTAACATTATATGCAT